GTGTGTCTGTATGAACCCCTCTCTCTCAGTGCAGTGTTAATGTACTGGAGTGTCCAGTCAGTCAGTGTGTCTGTATTAACCCCTCTCTCTCAGTGCAGTGTTAGTATACTGCAGTGTCCAGTCAGTGTGCCTGTATTAATCCTCTTCAGTCTGTAAGGATTGATACAGTGTTAAAGTACTGTGCCTTGAAGACAGCTGATGAGAACCTACCTCATTATTTCAGCAGTAACGATCACAGACACGGTCATGATACTATAGAGGCCAGTTCACTGTTGTGCATTTTCTAGTCCAGCTTCTCAGTCTCTCTTCCTTTCTATCTAGACCCCAGTGTCTCGTGCTGACTGGTCCTCCCAGCCTCCGTCCTGCGCTGGTGGACTTCGTGGGTTCTTTCACCAAGAACATCAGTCTGATGATCTGTGGAGACATCATCATGGTGAGCAGCAGGGACTCTTTGCCAGGGGGCTGGTGAAACACCTGCCTGAGAGGAAGAGCTGGGATGTTTGGTTGCCCTTCAGACACCCCTAGCTCAGCTGTTGCGTGATCTTCTGCAGATCGGGGAAAATGGATCCTAGGGTTGAAGATCAAGAAAAAAAGTATTTATTACACGTTCCCACTCCCCCCCCCCTTCTCATTCTTTATGCACAGAAGGGTGGGAAATGGTTGATCAATCACAATTTACTCTTATTCATTTACAGAGCATTATATCCCCATTATATCCCCATTTGTAACAGTGTGAGTAAATTAAACAACAGTTGAATAAATCATGAATGGCTGGGACCGGTCCTTGACACTGCGTTAGTCACTTTGTAAAACAGACTATTTGCTTATGCTTATGCTTATGCTTATGCGGTTATAACCTTCCAATGTTTTCAGGTCTGTAGCTACTGATTTAACTAGCACACTATATCCCTCTGGACTCAAGGAATTATAGCAAAGTTCCTACAGAAATGTGGGCTGGGGGGTTGGATCACACCGTTCTGCTCGCCTCTGTGTATACAGTAACCTTGCACCCAGGACTTCCTGTAGCGTATCCTTCCTTGTACCCTTACTTCTTACCCCATCTACACCCGTGCAGCAGCTCCCTGGCTCAATCCTAGCTATACAGTGGGGATCTGGGCAGCCTCATCCAGGCAAGCTACACCAAATATACTTTGTATATCTCGTCTCTCTCTTGCATTTATTAATATTTAACTGAACAACTGAATGGCACATTAGAACAGTACGTACAGTAAGTCTTACTGATACAGACATTAACTTGTTCTTCAACGGGAATCTTGGAATCTTGGAACCCAAACTCTCCAAGGGCAATTCTGAGGAACAAAATTCCCTTTCCCAAATGTATGATCTTGGAAATCGACTGGCCCTCTGCTCTCATTCTTACCTACAGGATGAGAAATCCTCCCCACAGCAGTCCAACGCAAGTGCCTTGGTGAAGTGGCTGAACAAGAGGAAGATCCGGGCTTTCTACACCCCCATCAATGGGAAGAGCCTGCGAGACGGGGCCAGGAATCTCATGCAGGTGAGCCGGTGTCCCTTTGGCCAGCGGTAGGCCTGCAATCTACTGGCACTTCTAACTTGGGACCATTTATTGACCCACACCGCAGAGCGCAAGCTGTGGGAGCACAAATGGATTCCAATTTCTGAAAAGCAAATGATACTTTCTAGGAGACAATGTCAACCCAAATCAGCTGACACATAGCCAAGGGTAACATGATTTGGTGCCCAGATTTCCTTGACCATCTGGTCTCTTGGGTAGCAGGGCATGGTGTGGCTGTTACTGTCATTGTGTAGTTTTTCTCCAAGCAGTGTAGCTCTTTCCTGCCTCCTACAGACAGGCAGATCAGCTGTGCTAATTTGCTCCTTCTATGAGGTGCAAGAGCTGTGCTGCAACGCCGATCCCAGAATACTGGGAATAACATTTAGGTGAAGAAGCTCCTTTGTCATCATCATCCATTAAGCACGTTACTCACATGAATTTGAGAATCGCTTAATTATTTGGAATTGAACAGAACCGGACCAGGTCACGCTAATTTCAGCTTATGGAGATCACTCCGAAGGGACAGCCTATAGAAGCAACCTCGTCACAACACAAGTGAAAAGACATTTTCTGTACCTGTCACCTTCCCTCTTATAGGCAACTGGCCTGGGCAAGCTCAAACCCAATACCCTGTTCATGGGCTTCAAGACCAATTGGAAGGAGGACTCCCCCTACAGCCTGGAGGACTACATAGCAACTATATAGTGTGTAGAACTTGAGTGACTCTAACTTGTCCCTGTGTGTGTGTTTGTGAGTGTGCCCTGGGAGGGTCTAATGTCCTGTCCAGCATGTGATCCCGTCTTGTGTCCTGTGTCTGCCAGATTAGTCAACACATGGAGTAGCTAAGGATAATGGCTGGATGGATACTCTTGGATAATAATAATAACAGTAGGTGGCCGAGCGGAAACATATACTTTCTGTGGATGTCTACAAATCCGTAGTGACAGGAAGAGAGATCTGGCAATTTTTCCTTAGAATTCCATGTTATAAGACAAAACCCAGCACGCACTAATCCCATGTCCTGTTTCCATCCTTTCTCAGTGATGCCTTTGACTCCAACTTCGGTGTGTGCCTGCTCAGAATGACGGACGGCCTGGATGTGTCTGAGGAGCTGCTCTCTGGGGGTGAGCACTGTGGCTGGTGATGACAGGGGCACTCCTAGCTTAGAGCTGGAGCCTCTCTGGTCATATGTTCCCCAGGCTCCCCTGATGGGTTCACGCCTTCAGTGGGAAATTAAAACTGGAGCAGGAAATAATGTGATAAAGTTTTGGGAGAAGGTTGTAGAAGATGTGGTTTTTTCTTACGTTTACATATTTTTGAAGTAAATTGTGACGTTTTAATTGTACATTAAGTAAAATGAAAATTATATTTTTAATTTTGACGTTTAGGGACTGAAGGAGATATATGTTACTGGGCTATTTAAGGATTTTGATGCTACTTTCTCCCTCCTTTTTTTGTCTTTGTTTTAAACAGTGAACCCCGCTTTTGAACCAGAGGATAACGGGGAGTCTCGACGGAATGAGAAAGATCAGGATTCAGGTGGGGCTGCAGTTATGCTGAAAACTCAACTGAATCTTTTAGGGGTGTGCATGTGTGTATTTTGTCTCCCAAAGCCATGTCACAGCTTGGATTGGGATCTTCTGTTCTCCAGACTAGAAGGCATTCCTTCTTTTTCTGCATTTCCAGGACCATTTCACCATCAGTTTATATATTTCATCAAGTTAGGAAGAAATCGAAGTCATCCAAAGCTGGGAGGCAACTCTCCATCCCTCTGTTTACTGGAGTTTCTAAATTAGAACAGACTTAATTTTAAAATATAGGGACCAAACTTAATTTCTTTAAGTAGTTCAGGTGGGGAGCTGCGTCAGCATGCGTAGGCTGCAAAGGAACAAGAAATAGGTTTATTGCATGCTGAATTCTTTTGTCGGAAAGGATAGTCTGTTTTTTGAGGGAAAAAATGGTAGAAAGCATTAGTTTCCTATAAAATAGTCACTGAGTGTTACTCTGGTTGGTATCAGAGTCAAAAGAAAAAGTGTTCAATTTCAGGCGAAATCCTTTAGGGATGATATTATGTCGACGAGATCTGTAAACGAACAGGAGGTGGTTAGAAAGCCTGGTCTTGGAACAGATCGCTGTGAAGAGACGGAATGCTGGTTTAGTAAGAGAGGGGGTCAAGTGATCCCATTAATTTCCTTTATATTCCTTACATCCATTTTCTAACCACTCCTTCTAATTCGTGGTCATGGGGGAACAAGCACCTTTAAATGATTGGGTAGATAAGTATTATGTATAGAACAATTGCTTCTAACTCTTTAGGAACTCACATTCATACACCCTGCAGGCCAAAATCGACTGATCTTCGAGAGCAGAGAGGCTGGGATTCCACTGCTTGTTCACACTGTCTCTCTTTGTGATTTTGGGTGGCTTTCTACATATGCTTCTGTTTTTGAACAACAGATGTTAACAATTCCAACATAGCCGAGAGCGAGCAGATGTCCACAGTGTTCCAGAAGAAACAGGGGAAGCAGACCATTGATGTCTACTGGATATCTGATGATGGAGGTAAGTCCTTAAACAGGAGGAGCTGTTTCGGTCACTCTCCTGAGCAGACAACCAATTGGTTCAGGGCTAGCCTGATTACCAAACCACGCTGTGTAAACAGTTCTGAAAAAGACCCTAGCAAATCTTAATAATAATAATAATTGCTTACACTTATATAGCGCTTTTCTGGACACTCCACTCAAAACACTTTATAGGTAATGCGGAATCCCACCACCACCACCAGTGTGCAGCCCCACCTGGATGATGCGACAGCAGCCATAGTGCGCCAGAATGCCACACTCCAGCTCTCAGTGGGGAGGAGAGCAGAGTGATGAAGCCAGTTCAGAGATGGGGATTATTAGGAGGCCATGATTGGAAAGGGCCAATGGGAAATTTGGCAAGGACACCGGGGTTACACCCCTACTCTTTTCGAGAAATGCCCTGGGATTTTTAATGACCACAGAGAGTCAGGACCTTGGTTTTACATCTCATGTAAAGGACGGTGCGTTTTTAGAGTATAGTGCCCCCCCCCCACATAGACCACAGGGTGAGCGCCCCCTGCTGGCCCCACTAACAACTCTTACAGTGGCAACCTTAGCTTCCCAGGAGTCTCCCATCCAGGTACTGACCAGGCTCACACCTGCTTTAGTGGTTTGCCAGTTGTGAGTTGCAGGGTGATATGGCTGCTGGCAGATACTGCAAGATGAATTGTTCAGTGAATTAGTTGAAATCACACATCCTGCATTTTGTCGCACTGCAAAGGCTGTGCTTGTGGAGTGTAGTCAACATACAGTATTTCAATATATATCAGTGATGTTCTCTTTTGATCCTGGAGGGCTGCAGTCCACCGGTTTTCAGAGGTGACTAGAAAATACCAGTGATTGAAGACCTGGAAACTGCTGACGGAGACATTAAGGGTCTAGGGGAGGAAATGCAAAATTGAAAGAACAGGGTCCCCTCCAGGACATGGAGTGGATATCAGTGCACGGTGTGTCCAGAAACACAGTCTGAAATAGAATGATCCCATAAATCTTTATCACTGAGAAATGATCGCAGTTTAACACAATTTTTCCTGAACTTGTTCTGCTGGTGAATAACATTGTGTCAGATATACAGTGTCAGACTCATTCTGCAATGTAAGTTCTTTCATTGCAGAACTACACTGGTAAATGAAGGGCTGGCTGTATTGTCCTCCTGCCTGAAGACACACTGCCCCCCCCCCCCACCTCTGGACCTGGAGAGAATGATCACTGATGTATACTGTCCTCCTTCCTTGTCTCTGTGCAGGAGAGCTGCTCTGTTATCACGCTCTCTCTCTTTCCCAGGACTGACCCTCCTGATCCCCTACCTGCTGACCCGGAGGAAGCGCTGGCGGCAGAGCAAAGTCAGAGTTTTCATTGTGGGGAACAAGGAGTCCCTGGAGGAGGACCGCAAAGAGTGAGTCTTGCCACCAGGGGGAGCTGGTTGAAACTGAGTGGCCACATAATAGTAATAATTGCTTACACTTATATAGCGCTTTTCAGGTAATGGGGAATCCCCTCCACCACCACCAATGTGCAGCATCCAGCTGGATGATGCAATGGCAGCCATAGCGTGCCAGAACGCTCACCACACATCAGCTCTCAGTGGGGAGGAGAGCAGAGTGATGAAGCCAGTTCAGAGAGGGGGATTATTAGGAGGCCATGACTGGTAAAGACCACATGACGTCTGTCCAGGACACTGGCGTCACACCCCTGCTCTTTCTAAGAAACTCCTTGGGATTTTTAATGACCACAGAGAGTCAGGACCTCGGTTTTACGTCTCATCCGAAGGACGGCACTGTTTATAGTATAGTGTCCCCGTCACTATACTGGGGCATTACGACCCACACAGACCGCAGTGTGAGCGCCCCCTGCTGGCCCCACTAACACCTCTTCCAGCAGTAGCCTTAGCTTTCCCAGGAGCCACCCATCCAGGGACTGACCAGACTCACACCTGCTGAGCTTCAGTGGGTTGAACATCATCATCATTACAGTGTTGCAATCCCCTCATTGACTTGCATGTTCTTGGACTGGATTCACAGATGGATTGTTTCAGCACACCTTAAATGAGTTGTATATTACTTGTTTTCCATCTGTTTGAGTGTATATAGTGGTCTGCAAAGCCTCCAGGATTCGGAATGTGGAGTACATTAGTCATCATTTGGATACACATCTTCTGGCTGGGCATTAGTACAGCTTGTTCCTACATAATGCAATTGAGCAGAATTGAACTCTAATCAAATGTGTACAGAGCCGGTTGTGTCACAATTCTGTAATGGAATGCATTTACTTATTCCTGCCTTACGCTGCATTACACTGTCTCTAATGTCTTCTTTCAAATTATGCGTAAGAACACATGAACAGTTATAAATCAGAGGAGGCCACTCAGCCCATGTAGTCCATTTAGTATTGAGTAGCTACTAAATCAATCCAAGGATCTCATCCAGTTGTTGTTTTAAAAAAGAAAAGACGGGTATTGGCTTCAACAACATGGCAGGAGAGATGGTAAAGAGGTGCTCCCTGCTTTGAATTTATAATGCACTTCCTCAAATATTTGAATACCAGGATAAGGTCCCCTCGTCATCTCGTCATCTTCTCCTCTAGATGCTATTGCCAGACACACTATAATCCGCTCTTTGCAGTGTCCCACAGATTGCACTGTGTCAGTTTGTACATTCCAGAGCAATGATGGCCCAGGTGACTGCAGTCACTGCTGCTTGCTGTTACAGCGCTCTCTGTTTGTCTGGCCTTTGTTACAGGATGCTGTCCCTGCTCAGCAAGTTCCGCCTGGACTTCCACGATGTCATCGTGATGACAGACAGCGAGCAGGCCCCCAAACCCAAAAGGTAAGCTTGGCGTATGGGCGGTGTCCCGTTCTCCTCCGGAAGAGGTCTCCATCCGCCAGAAGGCTACGCAAGAATGATCAGTACACAGCCGGTGGGTGACCTTGTGGCCTGATCTGGTCTGATCTCAGAAGCTTAGCAAGGGCAGGTCTGGGTCATACTATGATGGCAAAGCAGCTGGCCAGGAGGTGGCACTCATTCCTCTGGACTGAAATTTGCAACCTGATGCCCTGGTATACACTATACCATAGGAGCTGCCATTCTTCAAATGAGACATTATGAAGATCCTGACATTTGGTCATGAAATATCCCAAGATGTGTTTTTCTTGAATGAAAAGTAGTCTACCCCAGGGTCATGGTTACATGCCAATTTGAAATTGTACAAGTTAGTTACAAGTCATTTCTCTCTTCTCTGCCTGAACCTCTGTGGATCTGTGCAGCTGTCCAGGGGTCAAGGCTTGGGGTGAGGCTCCAGGCTTGGGGATAAGCATGTAGGTGAGTTAGGGTTAGTAGTTCAGGTGGGTAGCTGCGTCAGCATGCGTAGGCTGCAAAGGAACAAGTAATAGGTTTATTCCATGCTGAAAAAAAGAAGAAAGAGAACACAACGTTTCGGCCGTGGAGCCTTCTTCAGGTGTGAGTTAGGGTTAGGGTTAGCATCAGAATGGTAAGGATTAGAGTTAGGCTAGCCCACTCTCAATTCTGCGACTGTAACAGGAACCAGTCTAGGCTCCCGTGAAGCGTAGTTCTGGACCCTATGCAGATGGTATAATCCGGAAGTAAGTGGAAAGGATGATGGGGAGGAGACGACGAGGAGCAGGAGTGGTTGACACTGGGGTGACGATGGTGATCAGGTGCTCGGGAGGCGTGGCCAGGGCGAACAAGTCCGAGGAGTCCAGGGGGAAATTCCAGGACAAAGTCCAAAAGTCCAAATCCGGGTGATCCAATCGAGACAAAACAAGACAGTTAAAAGCCGGAACAGGATCTGGTGCAGGGACAGGGAATAAAAAACGGGATGACGAGGCCAGACGCCCTGAGCCCCGGACTCAGCAGGGTCAGGACGCCTATGCCCTCAAGCCGCGGATGTAGGGGGACTTGATGGTAGGCAGGGCCTCTGGGCGTCCGTCTTCCAGTGCAGAGCCCAGAGAAACAAGAGCGCCCGGCTTAGATAAGGAGGGACAGGTTAGGGGACAGGTGAAAGTAATCAGGTAAAATACGAAAGAGCCGGAGCGCCCTTAAGTGGAGGGATTATGATCATGACAGTGACAGTGCCCTTTTTAAAATATCTTGTTTCAGTTAAAAAGGCATCATTTTACCTTTTTTTTCTGTTTTGACGTTTCAAACTCTCCTGGGCATTAGTATTAGAACAAGTATTAATAGTATGACTGCACACTTGAAACACATGATTGATTTCAGTTCAGTTTCAGCTGAGTAATTTTTATTAGGACATAGGCTTCAGTCTGTGTGCAGTCAGACAGCCTCCTGTGTCCTACAAACGAGTCAACGAGTAAAGGGCTGCCAGTGTGTAAGTCCTCTTTCTTTCCGAACAGCATGCAGCGGTTCGAAGGGGCTGTCGCCCCCTTCAGGCTGCACGATGGCCTGCAGCAGGAGCAGGCGGCGCAGGAGCTGAAGAAGCAGTGTCCGTGGAAGATCTCAGACAGGGAGATGGACATCCTCAGACAGAAGGTGAATGACCAGATGTAGCGGAGCTAGTTCGGATACGGTGATGTCATCGCCCTCACTGCGCGTAGCAGGGACCTGGGCTGAGGGAGGTCTCCTTTAGCTCATGCGGCTGGTTCCCTGTTGCATTACGTCAGTGACGTGTGTTCGTGTCCTTGGGTGTTATGGGATGAAACGGGTGGCAGAGGGCACGAGCCTGTGTGGAACCGCAACGGTCACACAGATAGTAACACCCAAGCACTGTGTGGAAAAGAGTGACAAATGGGCCCTGAACTATAGAGCACTCACTGGATCCTTAAACCAAATTCTAGAAATGAACAGAGATTTAATGTTGCTGTCCATGCTTTTGGGACTGTTAGTTTTTATCTATTTATGTTAAGCAGGAGTGCCCGTTTTTCATGGTGCTTATTGTGGATCAGCAGTACGTCACCAGTAGTTTTTTGTGATACATACTGATTACTTCACTTTTGAATGTTCTGTTTTACAATTTTTTTCTGTATTGTGTGTGCTGGTGTTTTTATATCATGTCTGCGCCAGTGCTGTGTGCTGTCAGTGTGTCTTTGTAAGAAAGTCTCTGATCGGGCACCGTGGATCCCTGACACTTCCTCTCTTGCCTTGTCTTCGCAGTCGGAGCGAAAGGTGCGATTGAATGAGATCATCCGGTTCAACTCCAAAGATGCAGCCCTGATCTTAGTGTGAGTCGAGTAGGAGAGTAGTTTATTGCCATATGTACATGTCCATTGGAATTTCTAAATCACGCTGATCTCTCGGGACATACACAACACAACAGACACCACTACACAAGGTAGACAAGAAGAGCAATAATTATATTGTGGAAAAATAAATTCATACGTAGTTGTGAGACTGAGAGAAAAAAAAAAACAAGTGTAAGAAGTGCAGACTCCAGGTGTGTATTGAGTCTGAGGCCCCACAGTTACCTGTTGAGGATGTGCACTGCAGTGGGATAGAAGCTGTTCTTGAGTCTAAGAGTCTGTGCTTTAATGGTGCGATACCGCATGCCAGAGCGCAGGGGGGAGAACAGTCTGTGGCCAGGGTGGTTGGGATCCTGAATGATGGATCAGGGCTTTATTGCGACAGCAGATGGTGTGGATCTCACTGATTGATGGTAAATCGCATCCTATGATCCTCTGTGTTGATCATCAAAGAGAAAGAGCACTTTGCCAGAGTGTAAACCCACTTTTTATGTGTACTACGCCACTGGGCTGGTCATGGCTTGCTAATTCGTGCACGAATCCCTTGGCTTGAGATTTACACATCTGAATGTACGTCTGCATCCATCCATATTTTCTAAACCATTTTAACGAGTACTGAGTTGCAGGGGCAGCTGGAGCCTGTCTCGGGAGCAACAGATGCAAGGCAGGGTTCACACTGGGTGGGATCCCATCCAATTGCAGGGCAGACACACAGACAAACACAATCTTACCAGGGCCAAATATCCCAGAAGCTAATTAACCCACCAGCATGTCTTTGTACTGTGGGCAGAAACTCGGGCACCTGGAGGAGACCCACATGAACACAGGGAGAGCATGCAAACTCTGCATAGATAGCACCCCAGGACACTGAACCCAGGGCTCTAGTGAGTCAGCAATGCTAATCACTGCACCACTGTGCCACCCTTCATGCCTACATTACAGTTAAAAATCACAATGCACAATGCTATAATGCTCATTATTACCAGCTGAAAGCAGAGTGACATCTATTCTGAATTAGTTCATGTAGGGAGATGTGTCAGCATGCATAGGCTGCAAAGGAACAAGTAAAGGTCTATTCCTTGCTGAAAAGAGAAGGAAAGAAACACAACGTTTCGGCTGTGGAGCCTTCTTTGGGTGTGAGAAAGAGAGGAAAGTCAGCAGCTGATAAGGCAGGGAAGGACAAGAGCTGGGAGTGGAGAGGAGGCGGGAGCAGGAGGGCAGAATGGGCACTCAGGTGGTGTGAAGTCGAGAGAGGGGGTGAAGAGAGGTCTGAAGTTGAAACCTGCCATTCTTAGCACCCACTGATCTGCTTCTCTTTTGTTGGTTGCAGGAGCATGCCTGTGCCCAAGATCGCCACCTGTCCCAGTGCCCTCTACATGGCCTGGTTGGACACTCTGACCTATGACCTGCGATGCCCAGCCTTGCTGATTCGTGGAAACCAGCAGAATGTGCTCACCTTCTACTGCCAGTGAGAGGAGAGATGGCGATGGAGTGTGGGCCATCGGAACTCGGACTGGGCAACTGCGTGCCAAGCAGCTGAGTCACAAAGAGATCCCGTTCTTACCAGTTCTTTTGATCTCACGGGCCTGCGAGCAATGCCACAGTCTGATAAAGGCAATGCGATCTGAACTGGAAGGGCTAAACTTGTCCTGTCTGAGTCAAATATCCAAGTTTTCCTTGAACAGCTCCTTAAAATCTTAGAAGCCCAAAGAACATTATCCATATTGCCCAATTGGGCTAATGCTACAACAGCAGATGTAGGGATGCCTGATTTATCTGGGAGTATTATAGATTATAGAGAACAACCATAAATCAGGCAGAGATTTCAAAGCATCTTTAGACTATAATAAATTCAGCCTAAAAATGCCCTGTTATCTGACCTAATAGCTGTGCTGTCTAGTATAGTTCAATCTTCCTGTGTCTTAGCAAGTGGTTTTTATTATCAATGTTATTATCAACATAAGCTACTGGTCCCAATATGTATTGGTTGCCTCTCAGTATGATATCATTAATGCTTGTATTTATGTAAAGATCAATAAAACATTTATGTGCAAAACATTTTACCTAATTGCAAAAATTTTCCCTAATAGTCGAGAAGAATCATATAATATTTCAGAATGATGGTTTGATGGAACAAACCACAAGTTATGCTAATCTTCCAGGATGTAAATATGTGTTTGTATGTTGTTTTGTTTACTGAAATATACTGTACATATGATATACAGTATACATGATTATTTCGTACTTTAGAGGATTTTGCAGTATGAATTGCAGTTGGTTTTTTTCCTGGTGCTGGTTTTGAGAAGGAACACAGAGAGTTTTCATGATTCTCTAAACCTGTTCAGGGACTTTAAGGATTCTCTAGAAACCCTTTTTAGTATGTGCAGAATAGAATAAAGTCTACACACTTCACCCACCTCACCATTCATCTGTCATTCTCCCCGCCTGCCCCTTCGTCCATCTGTTCATCCATCCACTAGTCTGTCATCTATCAGTCCATCCTTCAGTCCATTTTTTAATCCATTCATCAATCCTTCCCTTCATTCTACCATCAATCCAGCCTTCCATTCCTACATTAATCCTACTATCATTCCATCAGTCAATCCATCCATCCTCCTGTCCATCAATCCATCCATCTATAAATCCATAAGTCCACCTCTCCACCCATCCATCTGTCCATCAGTCCATCCGTCCACCTGTCCAGCCATTGATAAGTCTGTCTATTCATCCTACCATCATCCTATCAGTCTATCCACTTGTCTATTTTTCCATCTGTTCATCCGTCCACCTGTCCATCAATCCATCCGTCCATCTGTCCATCAATCCATGCATCCACCAGTCCGTTAATCCATCAATCCAGCCTTCTGTCCATTCCTTCATCCATTCATCAATTCTTCCCTTCATTCTACCATCAATCCAGCCTTCTGTTCCTACATTCATCCTACTATCAATCCATCAGTCAATCCATCCAGCTATCCGTCTATATATCCATCCATCCACCTCTCCATCAATCCATCCATCCACCTGTCCATCAATCCATCTGTCTATAAATCCATCCGTCCACCTCTCCATCTATCCACCTGTCCATCAATCCATCCATCTAAAAATCCATTCCTCCACCTCTCCATCCACCTGTCCATCAATCCATCCGTTCACCTGTCCAGCCATTGATAAGTCTGTCTATTCATCCTACCATCATCCCATCAGTCAGTCCATCTATCCACCTGTTAATCTGTCCATCCAACCATCAGCAAACCCATCAATCCGTCCACCTGTCTATTTTTCCATCTGTTCATCCATCCATCAGTCCATTCATTCTGCCATCAATCCATCAGTCAGTCCATCCATGCACCTGTCCATCAATCCATCCGTCCACCTCTCACTCCATTGATGGGTCCATGCATTCATCCTACCATCAATCCATCAGCCAGTCAGTCCATCCAAACACGGGCCCATCCATCAATCCATCCACCTGTCTATTCCTTTATCTGTTCACCAGGTCATCCCCCCATCAGTCCATCCAAACTTCCACCCATCTGACCATCAATCCATCTATCCGGCCTGCTGTCCATTCTTTCATCCATCTGACCAACTGAATTCCATCAATCCATCAGTCCATCATCAGAAGATTCCTCCTGTTTGAGTGTTATTCAGCGGGTTGCAGACAGCAGACCATTTCCGAACACACAACCACACTTGGAGAGTTCTGGGGCACCAGTTGATCTTGCCAGCACATTGATAGTGTTTCTTGATGACAGATGTCAATGTTGATAAAAATGCTGATGCTTTTTGTATCTGAATGTTTTTATCCATCCAAAAGGCTTGCACTGCTGTATTTATAGCGCTTTGAGGGGAGTGTCCAGAAAAGCGCTATATAGGTGTAAGCAATTATTATTATTATTATTTATTACGTGACAATAGCCATTGGCAATGAAACGTTACACTAAAGATGTTTGATTCCTTGCAAGTGGCGAGGTCCTGTAAACTGAATCAGAACCCTGTAAATAAAGAACTGAACACCCATTTTGCAGCTGTGAGCAATTTATACAGCTCCTCGCACCACTGTTAAACTTTTTATATATATATAACAATATATATATTGTAACGCATACGGCTGACATTGCAGGTTGTGCGAGCCGGCTTACCAGCACGGTGACGTCACTGCCCTTCCCTGTGAATAGCAGGGACTGCAGCCGCCAGGCGGACGGGAGATTTCCCTTTAGCTCAAGGAGCTGGTTCCCTGTTGAGTGACACCGGAGGCCTGGGTTTAAGTCCCCAATGGGGGGGCCGACCTGAGGTGGCACCGGCGAGGGCGCATACCCACGTGAACCTGAGAGCACTACAATATATACTGTATATATATAGGGGCGCAGCGGTGGCACTGTGGCTAAGGATCTGCACCTGTGGCTGGAAGGTTGCTGGTTCAAATCCTACAGCTGGCAGAGGAATCCTACCCTGTTGGGCCCCTGAGCAAGGCTCTTAACCCCAACTGCTCCAGGGGTGCTGTACTATGGCAGACCCTGTGCTCTGAGCCCAGGCTCTCTCCCTATCTGTGTGTCTCGTGGAGAGCAAGCTGGGGTATGCAAAAAGATAATTCCTAATGCAAGAAATTGTAAAGGGTTAATATTGATATAAATCCATATGTTTAATCAAATCTTGAATGCTCAAACTGAACATTTTCATGGGTGAAAGAAAAAAAGTCAACAATAGTGGTCAGTGGAAAGGGGTGAATAGGTTTGCAAGGCACTGTAGAGGAGAGGGGACACAGCCGTTTCCTTATTTCATACACGTTAAAAGCTTAGAGGAAATGGGGATCTGGTTCCAGTACAATCGACTGATAGGAAGATTTAATTATGTTCCTGTGTATGTAAATTATCATGGAGGGATGCTTTTTTTTAGGAAAATAAACTTTGTTGCAGGAATGTAAACTGACACACCTCTTTCAAAGAATGCAATTCTAACAAAGCAATAGAATGATCAAATTCAGATTTGAAAAAAAAAGGGTTCTCAAAGTGGCGATTGTCCAGTATCAAACCATCCTTTCAGCAAAGTGGTCATTAAGGCTGGATTCGCACAACAAAGCTGCCCAGTTCTTATTATTTGCTGTCGCTGTATACCCTGTGCTGGCTCTGAAATTGTGACAGTCTCGATTTTCCACAGGAGCACACAGGAACAGGGTTTAGTTCTCCTTTTTAGCCACAGTCCCTTTGCCATGGAGAAGCCCCACCTAACTACACCACGCATTATTCTTCATTGCCAGTAGCTCTATCCCCCTGCAGCTCACAGCTGGCAGCCCCACTGCAGCTCAGCAGGTATGAGTCTGGTCAGTACCTGGATGGGAGACTCCTGGGAAAGCTAAGGCTGCTGCTAGAAGAGGTGTTAGTGGGGTCAGTAGCTCACCCTGTGGTCTGTGTGGGTCCTAAAGGTATAGTGTCAGGGATATACTTCAGATGAGATGTAAAACTGAGGTTCTGACTCTCTGTGGTCATTAAAAATACCAGGGTGTTTCTCAAAAAAAGAGTAGGGGTGTTACCCCAGTGTCCTGACCAAATTTCCCCCTGGTCTTTACTGAACATGGCCTCCTAAGTTCTCTGAACTGGCTTCATCGCTCTGCTCTCCTCTGCACTGAGAGCCTGTGTGTGGTGAGAGTAATGGAGTATCATCCAGGTGGGGCTGCACGCTGGTGGTGGTGGTGGAGGGGATCCCCATGACCTGTAAAGCGCTTTGAGTGGAGGGTCGAGAAAAGCACCATGTTAGTGTAAGGAATTATTCTTATTATTTTTTTCTTATTAATTCTTCCTCTGAGGTTCGCAAGGCTTGGACCATACCGCCCTGTTTTACAGACGCACTGAAGTCTCCTATGTCTGTAATGAGCCTGTATTGTATGAGATGTCAGTTAAGGTTGAACTCCACGGTGAAAAGTAAAAAGAGGAAACGCGTGAAATGAATTCACCTTTACAACCAAGGCGTGCTGACGTGACGCAGCTCTTCACTCGCCCTTGTCTTGTGATTGCATGAAGATTTACGGCTGATTCTTTTTATCATGTCGAAGGGTTGTTCAGTGGAGCACAATTTTTTTTATTTTGTGGAGAATTTTAGGATCTGAGTGCGGTCGATAATGTCTGCGTTTGTAAAGCAGTTTTTATTTGTAAAATTCTTAGTAGGTCTATAATATTACATTCAAACGAACGTTGTTTAAAGTGTCAAAGTGTGTACAAATTATGAGGAAAAGGCCATCTTCTACTTGTTTCGTGAAAGAAGTCAAGGTATCGGCAACAAACAACATGGCTGAATATCAGCTTGTTCCACACCCCCACCACCCTTTGTGCACTATTTTTGGTTTTAAATCCACTTCACTGCAGTTTCCGTTTGTGCCCCCCGTTTCGTGATTCACTGTTTATTATTCACTGTTTATTCTGAAGAAGTCCGCTGGGGTCACGTAGCGTCTCGATTTTTTTTTTGTCACAAATTCAAGGATTTATCACCGTATACGTTAACCAGAATTAAACAATTGTTAGGCTGCGCGGTCGCCGAACACGATCGGAAGGGGATGGACAAAATGAACCATAGCCACTGGTACACCTGCGAGAGAAAGAAAAACAACCTAAAGGTCTGGGAGATTTAGGACTGTGGTAAAGTACATGGGAGGTCAGGTGTGAGGCGGAGATCAGTGCCATACAGAACACGGACGCCCTCTGCCTGACAGGGGCGTGACTGGAGCTGGTCCATACAGGAAGACGGGCTTCAGACACGCGAGAGATCGCGAGCAGGTCCGGGTTCCCAGCACTGGCCGACAAGTCCCACGGACATCCCGACAGGATGGGGCTGCAGTCCAGCTTGTGAAAGCCTCAGATCGCTAAACCCCGGCCCCGCGAAGAGGGGCGTCTCTCGAAGACAACGAGCGGCCTTCTGCCGTGTGTAAAACCCCCAAAAACTTTTTTTTAGTAAAAAAGCATTTTACTAAACGTGTTTGGCTCAGGTCTTCTGCCATTAAAGTATCGACGACGACGACGACGTTAGCTAGCATCGTCAGACTCGGGGCGATGGAAAACTGCCAGTTTCCCGTTTTCTTTGAGGTCTCGCACCTCGACGAGAAAACGAAGGAGAAGCTTGAAAATTATTTTAAAATCCGGAGGAAGTCCGGAGGAGGAGAATGTGGGAAGATAGACCACACTGGGGGCAACGTGTACAAGATTTGCTTCCAGAAACGAGAAGGTGAGAGCAGCGCCAGCCCTGCCTGCTTCTTATCTTGTCCCCGCCGAGTAATCAGCCGGTAGAGTATCTGTCAGCGCGCCGGGGCCGTGTGTGAGAGGAAGAGATTGAAGAAAGTTGTGTGTGTGGGGAGGCACTCCGTGTTGTACAACTTAACCCCCCCTTAATTTTATTTATTGCGTGCTCTGAGCTACGAAAATTACAAATAGTCTAATTAATAAGTGGCAAAGATCTGACTCAAAACGCGTCTTTCCGTTCATCCTTAACAGTAACCCCGTACAACTGTCGAAATTAACATCGAGCCTCGTAGTCTTGGTTTGGAGTTTGGATCAAGACGCTACAGCTGTTTTATAATGCAGAATTAAGAAATGGAAACTTTTCTGCATTTCCGGGTTTCTCCTATCGATTGCTGATGATTGTCCCAAGAGCTGCAACTGCTTTTTTAAACGTACAGTACTTTTACGTACAGTATCTCCCATAAAACAAAGCACGTGGAGACAAAATACTAAAAACACCGGTAATGTAAAGAGAATTTCGTTCCAAGACAGCACACTGACTGTGAAAGATCTATTAAATGTGTGTATTTCAAAAGCTTTCTCTTCAAAACTGAAAGCGAAACTAACACAACCGTGTACCTTGCGGAATGAAAGAATGTAACCTCGGTGTTTTTTTTACTCAATTCGAAACTTAGCCTGGAAGCGCCACCTTTTCCTTTAAACCTCTCAGCGAGTGCCGGAATCGAATTATTTGTAAAGGAGATAATGAACAAAAATGCACAAACCCGTAAGTTTATCAGCAGAAGCACGCATTACACGGTCGAGAGAAGCCCAAATACACTTTGTGCTTTTATATTGTCTCTTTTATAGTCGGCCAATAAAGTTAAAATCAAGGACGGGGTGAATTTCAACAACAGATTACCATAGGCTACAAGGAACTAGAGATAACAGTTCCTTATAGTTAGTTTACAGTTTAGGAATTTATGCCAAACTTTCAGATACCATTAGCAATTTAATGCTAAAAAAGGTTGTAGTTACTAGATAATCAGCCCTTATCACAGTAGAGTTACAAATATAATAATAATAATTGCTTACACTTTCTGGACACTCCACTCAAAGTGCTTTGCAGGTAATGGGGACTGCCCTCCACTATCACCAGTGAGCAACCCCACCTGGATGATGTGATGGCAGCCATAGTGCTCCAGTATGCTCACCACACACCAGCTATTAGCAGGGAGGAGAACAGTATGATGAAGCCAGTTCAGAGAGGGGGATTATTAGGAGGCCATGATCGGTAAAGGCCAGGGGGAAGTTTGGCCAGGACACTGGGGTAACACCTCTACTCTTTTCAAGAAACACCCTGGGATTTTTAATGACCACAGAGTCAAGACCTCAGTTTTACATCTCACCCAAGAGACAGCACCTTTTTACAGTATAGTGTCCCCGTCACTGGGGTACAAGGGGCATTAAGACGCACATAGGCCATAGGGTGAGCGTCCCCTGCTGGCCCTACTAAGAACTCTTCCAGCAGCAACCTCAGCTTTCCCAGGAGTCTCCCATCCAGGTACTGAGCAGGCTCACACCTGCTGAGCTCCAGTGGGGCTGCCAGCTGTGACTTACAGGGTTATATAGCTGCTGTACAAGTATGAGACAAGACGCACAGAAATTGTCCGAGCAGGTAGCTGCGTCAGCATGCATGGGCTGCAAAGGAACAGATAAAGGTTTATTCCCTGCTGAAAAGAGAAGAAAAGAAACACAAGTGATACACCGGAAGAAGGCTCCACAGCCAAAATATTGTGTTTTTTTTTCTTCTCCACATAGAAATTGTCTCCTAAATTGTCAGGGAGGGATTGGTGCCTTCAGGGGTTCAGTCTACAGCTGAGACATGATGTAGAATGAGGCAGTACCCCTCAAAGTTATTATCTCTATATACAGTGCATCCCATTACAATTCAATTCTACAATTCAACTTTATTTGTCATTATACTTACACAGGTGCATAGTATAGTGAAAAGTGTTTCTCATTAGTCGCTCAGGTGCAGTATATACATAGAACAGAAATAGACAATAGACAGTAACACAATAACAAAAACAGTGTAATAACATAACAGTGTAATCAAAACTGTGCAAATACACAAACAAAGAAAGAATGCAACAGGACAAAAGCAGTGTTAAAGTAAATCGGGGATCAGTGCAAAAATAGTACGGTGATTAATAAATATTACAGCTAATACAGTTTTAAGTACATTATTTTTGCCTTGTGCATACTGCTAGAGATGTACGCATTTTCGGATTGAATGTATTCATGTTCGGCAATTGAATCAGATTGTATTGACTCTCCCCAGACCAGGAAAGGGTTCTGCAGAAGAAAGACCACGTTGTAGAAACGTCCTCGGGACCCATTACTCTCCTGGTGAGGAGCCCAGAGGGTCCGCCTGCCAGTCCTTTGAAAACACCCCCTGCCTCTCCGTCTTCGGCAAACCAGCAGAGCTCTATACCTCAGTCTCCTTTGTCTGCTGCGGCCACCGTTCACCCAACTAGCTATCCTGGACACCCTGCTTCCCCGGGGAAGGTCCTACAGCTGGACCATTATCTCCTGCGCTATCTCCAAGAGTGTCCCCAAGCCGGTGAGGACTTGAAGGATCTGCTCTCCGCCCTCTCCTGCTCCGTGCGGCTAATCCCGGAGGCGGAGGAGGCAGTGGTGACTTTAGAAGGAAGTGCCTGGTCGGTACAGTGGGAGGCACAGGTGGATGAGGTGTTCAGAGGCATACAAAGGAAATACCCCTGTCACTACGAACCCGATCTGACCAAGCAGCAGATCCTGAAGAAACACGCATTCCTGACGTCCAGTGGGGTCTGTGTCTACTCGGAGCCGAGCCAGGGCTTCGTGGTGATAGTGGGCCAGCAGAGAGACGTGGAGGAGCGGTTGAAGGTACTGGATGGGATTACGGAGAGGGAGAAGGGACGGAAGGGACAGAGCACAAAATGCAGAATTCCTGGCGTTGGATACAATCTCATACGGGATTCTTTGGAGCGGGAACTGAGGGCAGAGTTCCCCAACCTAAATGTTTATAAGGAAGATATGTCCAGCCTGACACTTGAAGGATCCCATATGGATATTCAGGCAGCACGGTCCAAACTGAAGGAAAGGCTTGGGAGAATCCAGGAGCGGGTGGTCACTTTGCCACGCCCACTGATTTCTTTCCTGAAAGACACCGGAGGCGTGGACGAATTCACTGCCAGTTTCTTCAACACATTGAGGAGCCAAGTCATCATGGACGTTGACCTGGACCTCAAGATCTTCAGTCTGTCCCGGGAAGCTCTTGATGGGGCTGAGAAGATCATCCGTAGGGAACTGCAGGTAGAGGACGTGGTGCTCGGGGGAGAATTAACCTCCGCTTCCCGTGTTGAGAAGCTGCGAGCATCTTTAGACAGAATCCGCATGCGCCTGAACCAGGGAAGGAGAAGAGTGCAGTTCCAGTTTGTCCAAGGTGCTAGTGAAGGAACACTCTGCATCCAGATCTGGGGGTTCAAAGATGAAGTGGGTAGGCTGGGAGAAGAGGTCAAGAGGTACATGACAGATGAGGAAACAACCATAGAGGCTGTTGAGCTGCCAGACTCTGGGATGGTTGACTTCTTCTTTGACGTGCTAGATCTCATCAGTGTGCCGCATGAAGGGGTGGAACTTGCAACAGTGTCCTCCCCTGCACCTGCGGTCCAGCTCAAGGGACCTCATCACCTCGTGATGGCGCTCAAGGGCTCCCTGAAGAAGGCGCTGGATGCTTTGGTGTGGGAGGTGCTGACCATCAACAAACCAGGAGCTTTTAAGTACTTCCAAGATGTGGGAAACGCCTACCTGACCATGGTGGGCAAATTGCATCACTGCCTCATCAGGCCCAGTCAGCCCGGGCAGGTTACAGCTGCAGATCCAGCACAGGCTGCTTCTCAGGGAGTCTGGTGCAGCTTCCGTCTGGAAGGGGGGCTCACTCTCATGGTCCGCCTAGGGGATATCACCATGGAGAAAGTCGATGCCATTGTGAATGCAGCCAATGAAGATTTGGACCATTGTGGAGGGATAGCTTTAGTCATCAGCAATGCCGGAGGGCCATCCATACAGAAGGAGAGCAAGGAATGGGTGAAGCGAAATGGGAAGCTGCCCACTGGGAAGGCCGTGGAGACATCCGCGGGCTCCTTGCCCTTCAAGATGGTCATCCATGCTGTGGGTCCCATGTGGCATGGCCGCCAGGGTGTCGATGGAGTCCGAAGGCTCCTGGATGGTGCTGTAAGAGAGTCCCTGGAGATTGCAGAGCGGGGGGGCTGCCGGTCCTTGGCCATACCCTGCCTGAGCTCAGGGATCTTCGGTGTCCCCGTGGACATCTGCGCCCAAACCATTGTGGAGGCAGTGAGGAATTTCGCCAGGATGTCCCGCACACTCCAGGCCGTGACCTTGGTGGACACCAACAGGGACACTGTGAGCGAATTTCAGGCAGCCTGCGGAAGGGTGCTGGGTGGAGTGGTGGGACTGCCAGTGACTTTGGAGAATTCAGGAGCATCTGGAAGCGAAGTTTTGCAAACGACCTCCTCACCAGTTCCCAGGAATTCCAGCATCCAAGTGGACATCATGCAGGGGAGCATTGAGAGCCAGCAGGTAAGTACTCCAAACTTTCCATCCAAGGGAAAAATTATTATCCCAAATAAATTGATCTAGAGAGATTTTGTAACAGAGAACCAAAAGATCTGAAGCAAAATCTGCGATTTCCCCCTCAATGGATATTTAAAATGTAATTTAGCTGTTTTAAGGTGAAACACTTAGCATACTCATAGTATGCATAGAGCAAATGTGTATTTTACATTTATGCTTTTTGATCTGAATTCTTATCCATCGAAATTCCACGAATAGAGTAGAATTTGTCATCTGTCATTTTCAGAGAGTCATCGGAGTTGAAATACATTTGAATGAATACATCATGGATATTGGCCATTGCTTTGGGACACTCTTACACCCACTTCTCTTTTCTTCAGACAGATGTTGTGGTTTCACCAATGAGGGACCAGGACCTAATGTCCACCAGAGTGGGACAGTGCTTAGCTGGAAAGTCTGGAGATCAGCTCAATAACAAGTTTTCTCAAGCTGTCCGGCAGAGGAGATTAGTCCCTGGAGACGTACTTCCGGTGGACGGGGTCTCTGGTCTGGCAGTCAAGCACGTCTTCTTCATTGAATGTCTGAAGTGGGATGGTTCCCATGATGGCAGAGCTATGGAGGTAGACAATTAATAATACCTTCTACAATACAGAATATGTATGAATGCACGCCTTCACTCAAATCTGCAAAGCGCTGCATATACTTTAACAGCAGCTCCTTCATTTAGCTTAAGCTTTTCACTGAGACAGGTTTAGTTGGCAAAGTGATGATGATTGTGAAAGCAGGCACATTACTAGATACAATCAGGTGTGGTTGAGGGAGCAAATTTGAATTGACTGCTTGTACAGTGATGTTAAAAGAGGTTGCAACACCAGCTATTAAAATATGCTTAATCTATACTTGCAAATTTCTGTGCTTCAAAATGGAGGGCAGCAAAGACACTAAGAGCAGGTACAGTCAGGGCCGCCTCAGTGATGCAGCTAGTAAAGACACTCACATGAGTACAGATTGAGCTTTATGGTTGTGGTATTAAGCCTGAATCGTGTTACTAGCCGACTGTAACCAGGACTATCCAACCAGCAGTGCACATCTGGCTGATAACTGCTGAGGATAGGGGTTAGTCGGCTAGGGCTCTCTTTTAGCTCTCAGCAATACAACACCCCCTGTGCCCTCCTAGTCACTTGCAGGCCCTTGCTGCCATCAAGTGAGGGACAGGCTTCTCTTGCAATCGATGCTGAATCTCTAGTGCGAGGCTGCTTTGCCTATGACATGTTGAGATGAATGGAATGAAGATGGTCTGAATGGAGGAGTCTGCATACACTTCCTTATTCTCCCCCATGTGCAGCTGCAGGGTTTGTGGCTGCAAGGTGAGACATGAAAAACACACAATTAACAATGACAAATTTCTCTCGAATGTTCCAGGCTCTTCGCAGAGGGTTAAGGTGTGCTCTGGAGAGGTGTGAGACGCAAGGTCTGAGCTCCATCACCTTCCCAGTGATTGGTCCTGGGGTGGCTCTGGGGTTTTCTCATTCAGTGGCAGCCCACACTCTGCTGGAGGAGATCGGACACTTCGAGCAGGATCGACTAACCCATTCAGTTTCCCATGTCCGGATCATCATTCACCCCAGCGACAAGGTCTCCTCTGTGGTAAGTACCCTCAGCTGAGACCTGGCCGAACAAGACAGTGTTTTATCCTCCATCATTAATCATTACTCATGTAGAAACCAAGAACTTCGAGCCTGAAGTGTTCATTCGTCCGGCCAAGCTTTATGGTATGCATACAAGGAACCACAATTAGGACCATAATAGTTATAGTACCTGTCGTAGCTCAAAGGGGATATGGCCCTACACATCTCATATATACATTCCCCCCACCTTCTGTCTTTGATGTAACTCCAGGAAATAGGAACCTTCCTTTGTCATCAGGAGTTTAGTGTAAACATTCACCATTTCGGGGTAAGTACGGGGGCATGGCATTATGGCGTAACGTAATGTGTTTCTTTCTTATCAAGACGTGCTGCAGAAAATCTGAGCATCAAGAGTGATGTCAACTGCTGTGTTAAATTTATAATCAACAGGCATTTCAAGAAGCTCAGCAGAGAGTGAGATTAAGGGGTCTACAGATGGCCCTACAGCCAGTGCAGAGTGAGTCATACAATTGCTGTTTTTCCTTCTTCCTGCTTCAGTCACCCTGTGGTTATACTGTAAACGAGGACACCAGCAGTAACCTTATCTTTTTCTTCCTCGACTCAGCCACCTTCTACCACTCCCTCAGCTTGGGTCAGGATGACGTCTCGGTCATGGTGGGTGGGGTGAGGATGCAGATTGTCTTTGGGGACATCGTGAAGGAGGCTGTGGATGTCATAGTCAACTCCACCGACTTCTCATCGAACTCCGCAGGTAATTTATGGGGACTTGGATCAACCTGTGTTGTTGTAAAAAGATCTCGGGAGCAGAATGTGTGCAAAATGTGTATTTGTGTAACAAGCCGGAAAAAGAATGCACAACTAACATAACCCAGAGATTCAGTCTTCTGTTGTCTTTTTTTAGTCAATAAAATACAGGATTTATACAGTATTTATACAAATAATGGCAGTATTGCACTTTATGTAACTGAAATGAGCTTTGGTCTGTCTGATATTTTCTCAGTTACATCTTTCAGATATTTGTGCTTGGATATACATATCAGCAGGATGGTGATTTGTGGAACTGGGACCTGGCTTTGATTCCAGACTGGGGCCCCTTCCTTGTGGGGTTCATGTTCTCCCTGTGCTCCGGCTACCTCTCACAGTCCAAAGACATGTTGGCGTGGCTGAGTGGGGACTCTGAATTACCCCCGTGTGCAGTGTGCATGTCTATGTTTGAGCCTGTCCCAGGCACTGTTCCCTCTAAGCCGCGCAGCAAACTCAGAGGGGATTTTTTTCCACGGGGAAAAAAATGTGACCGTGACTGTGAATGTTGGCATTTTCCCGTTAATGTTGACCTTCACATGTATCTACGGTTGTGGCTCTATTCTAACGTATTTATTGTCTTTGACATAAGTTAGCGCACTATATTATGCTTTCGCCATTTCCTGTTCATAATGTGTTGTGTTATTGTGAGGCGTTGCGTAGAGAGACAATTGTATAATATCTGAACCGTATTGAAGCGCCACCTTTCTTGCATCAAGCGCAGATTGCGGACGTGGATTGTCTCGAAACGGGCTGGAAGAGTCACATTTAGACATGGTCATGAGAATTAAATTGTACCAAAACAATTTACAGAATATTAATATGACAAGGTGTACACGCAAAGGCTGTCATTGAAAGACAGATGCCAGAAATGATAACTGAACAATGTAGTTGTGTACAGCATGAGTTAGATTTAAACTTCAGTTGGTGGGATAGAAGTGAAGACTTCTAGAATTTTCAGTGACAACCCCAGCTGCTCCAGGGGTGCTGTATAAATGGCTGACCCTGCGCTCTGACCCCAGGCTTCTCTCTCCCTGTCTGTGTGTCTCATGGAGAGCAAGCTGGGGTCTGGGAAAAGACACATTCCTCATGCAAGAAATTGTATAGGGTTAATAAAGTGATCTTATCTTATCTAAAACGACTTATTGTAGGTACTGGCACGCCCTCTGCAGCCAGAGGGCGCTCCTTCTCTGTCCTGTCCCTAGTTTCCAGTCTGCTGTCCTTCCTGTCCCTCTCTTTCCCTTGGGCTATATATTGTCTTGCACTCTGTCCTGGCTCAGCATTGACGTTTGGATGTCCTGAGACCCACCTAGCACCAGGGCGCCCCACATCTGCTCCCTGAGGGCATAGGTTTCTATACGGCATTCCTGAACTCTTTGCACTAATGAGCCCGGGCCTTTTTCCTGTCTCGCCGCTACGAATATGGGTCTTTTTCCGCTCTCCTACTCCCCACGGTTAGTCCCTTTGGACGCCCGTGACAGGTACTTCCTGTAGTTTAGCTAGCAAACCGTTACAAAATCAGCAACAGCAATACATGTCATTATGCCCCGAGGGCCTTGCCTGGGGTCTTTTTGGTCGATCACCGAGCTCTTTTACGCCGCTCAGGTTATTAAGTCATCCGCTCAACAGGAAAAAAAAAATAGAGGGAACGTAGGTCACAGGACTGACATCCAGGAGATCTGTCTTGTACTCCATTCTTCTGGGACAGGATCTAGGTTCTTCCACGAATGTCCTTACTAAGAATAAGTGACTTTCTGCAAATGGGTGACCCATTCGTCTATGTATGTCTATTCATGACAGATCAGCGACTACCGATGCAGGTGAAGCATCGTCAAAAACCTAGACCTGCATCCTATTGTATTCCAACCCATTGCACTGACGTCCTCGATGCTTTTCTGTCTCTGCAGGTGTCTCCAGAGCTATTTTGTCTGCTGCCGGTGCCACGGTTCAGGCAGAGTTAGCAAGAGGTCGGTATCCCATTGTAGAACCATTGAGGTTCCATGTTGTGTGATGATGGAATGTAAGCAAAATGGTTATTGTGATATTTGGGAGGCATAAAATCATAAGAACGGCTACATGAGAGAGGAGGCCAATTGGCCCCTGAAGCCCATTTGGTCGTTAGTAGTTAAATGATCTAAGGATCTCATCCAGTCATGTCTTGAAAGAAACCAAGGTATGGGCTCAAATATAGCATTTGCCTTACTCCCCCCACCCTCTGTGTAAAGAAACACCCCCTATTCTCATTTTAAAATGCACTTCCACATATTGTCAACTTGTGTCCTCTGGCTCATATACAAACGTGCAAATCACCTCCATTCCACGCACCCTCCCTGAATGAAATGGAATTATCCCGGAAGGTCATAGCTCCAGTTACAGGTGCTCCACAACCCCGGCTGACTCTTCTCTTCCCTTTCAGTCACGTCGCCCCCTGATGGAATCTTCACTACTCAGCCAGGCAACCTGCGGTGCAAGACGATCGCTCACGTCTGCGGGAAAAACAGCCTGGAGGAGATCCGGAAGCTGTCCGGCAAGATCCTGAAGCTGTGTGAACAGCGGGCTTTCAAGTCAGTGGCCTTCCCTGCTATTGGCACCGGTAAGCGGAAAACAATCCTGAAAATGTCCAAGCCAAATCCCAATTAATGCAGAATGGGGGAGGGGGGGGGTTGCTATTCTGTTATTGACTCACTTTCCCTAGGGAGATTCTTTATCCTGGACAGTAAACTCCAGGAATATAAAGTATCTTGGACTACTTCTGTGCCCTCAGTGGTTAAAAAAGTCCATAAGAGGTTGTGTCAAATAAGATTCCTGAAGGACAGTAGTTGGTTGCTCAGAATGGATTCCCAGGTACTTTCACTCATTCTTGATAGTTGCTTAGCCCAATACAAGGTCAGTCTTAGTCAGAGTCTCACCCAGCAGTCAATGGCCCACAGGACGCAACTGGATGCGATTTCCCCTCTATCACAGACCTGCTTTCCACTCGGTTCCAAGAACATTTTGTCTTAAAACATTATCTAATCCAGCTCAAATAGGGAGCTGCGTCAGCAGGCATAGGCTGCAGAGGAACAAGTAAAGGTTTATTCCCTGCTGAAAAGAGAAGAAAAGAAACACCACGTTTTGGCTGTGGAGCCTTCTTCGGGGGTGAGAAAGAGAGGAAAGTCAGCAGCTGATAAGGCAGGGGAGGACAAAAGCCAGCACAGGAGGCGGGAGCAGGGGGGAGGCAGAGTGGGCACTCAGGTGGTGCGAAGTCGAGAGAGGGGTGAAGAGAGGTGTGAAGTCAAAACCTGCAGATGAATAGAGAGGATTAGGAGGAAACAAGTCTGTCGTTGAGACAAGGGGGAAGGCGTGATCCTAGTTTCAGGATAATTTTGGTTTCGGATGTCTTTCTGCAATAGGAGTTGAGAAACCCCTCTTTGAGAACACAGAGGGAGAGATCAGTGTGACCACGGCCGTTAGAGGTGAAATGAGAAACTATGGGCTTGGAGAGATCTTTGATCCTCACAGCCCTGGCATGTTCTCTGAAGCACGTTCTAATTTGTACCCTGTGAAAGAGAAACACACGTTTTTCAACAGCTTGACGTAGGGCAGGATATTGGGAGGAGAGGAAACCTATCCTGGCAAGCCACAACATTTGTAGCCGTATCAGATTACTAACAAAGAAAAGATTTGTTAATTGCTGTAAGTAATCTGGTTGCGATAGAAAATGAGCTGACACCATAGCCCCCCGGGAGTTGAGTTTGATATGTTTGGTGCCTCATGATGTCCTCACAGGTGTGGCGGGAATGGATCCCAAGGCAGTGTCCAAGTCCATGATCGACGGGATCTCTTCCGCTGTGCGAGACGGATCCTTTCAGAACCTCTCGACGGTGCGTTTAGTCCTTCTGCAGAGGAACGTCTTTGAAGCCTTCAAGTCAGAGGCCGAGAGCCGCTTGGGCAAAGCAGCTCCCCAGCCCACATTCATAGGTAGGCATACCATTTGTCCATCCGTCCATCCATTTTTCTAACCGCATTATCCCATTCAGGGTTGCCTATCTTGGCAAGCAGTGAGCGCAAGGCAGGGTACACACTGGATAGGGTAGCAGTCCATCGCAGGGCAAGTGTAAGCCAATCATACATGGGGACAATGTATAGGCCGAGGGGGGAAAATTTGGCCCAGACACGGGATAACTCCCTACTCTTACCTGTGGATCTTTAATGGCCACTGAGAGTTAGGACATCAGTTAACATCTCATCCAATAGAAGGCTTTACCATTTGTAATTTCTAATTGGGTTCCTGTGATTTAAATCTGCCCGTTTTAGAGAAAATCTAATGGGAAAAATGGACACAAGAGCACAATGGACACAAAAATTATACAAAGGGAAGTCTTTAGCACATTCAAACCCTAAATGATACTGGAGAACTGAAGGACATCTCTGAAGGCTTGTTTGACTGTTTATTCTCTGTTCATGACCTTATAATGCATTTGAGAATCATCATAATGCACGATTGCCTTCTTTTGTTTGCAGAATATGGAAAAAAACTGATAAAACAGGTTAAAAACCGAGGAGAGCAGCCTTCCAAGATGGCGTTCAAGGGAGGGAAGAGCAGCATGGCGTTCTGCACTCCCGAGAAGCAGTTCCCTGCGGCTGTTTTTGACATCATTGGGCAGAAGAAGGAGGATGTGAAGAAAGCCAAGGAGCAGCTGGAATCCATCTTCCAGAAGCAATTCTGCGAGAAAGAAATAGATGAGGAAGAAGTGGGCAGGCTGGGCGAGGAGGAAATCCCGCACATCTTGGATCGAGCCATCAGCAAGGGGGTCACAATCCGACGTGGGAAATTTGGGAAGTTCATCCTGCAAGGTCTGAAGGACATGGTGATGGACATCTTCCATGTCATGCATGTAGCCTCTAACAAGTCCCTGGCAAAACAACTGGAGGAGAGGCAGCAGGCATTACTTGCTCAGATTGTACTGTGGCAGTATAACATGACCAATAACTGGGAGAATTTTGACAAGGAAGCCAACTACCTCCTGGAGATGGGTCACCAGAAGAAAGCAGCCACTGTTGATGTTAGCGACAAGGATGGGACTCCTCTCCGAGTTGACCTCAAAACAAAAACGGCAGAAAAGCTGCAGAGCTCCCAGACCGTACAAGTCAGGAGGAGAGAGCTCAGGTCAGGTGGGTCTCCTCCATTCTTCCTCCTGTTCAGAGTTATGGGGAAGCAAATAGGCTATGATTTCCAAACCTGTAACCCATCCTGGAAAAGACCAGAAACCCATTACCGAAAACCAGGTCATTGAACACTGATGCATGTGAGCCCAACAAAGATCAATCTGTGAAATACTCTGAGTTACCAAAGCACACTATAGATGAGTTGCTAGACAGGACGAATTTTAAGTCTCATTCAAATAAGACTGACTTTGCCTTTACCATTTTGACTTCTGAGGCATGAGACTCTGCTTGAAGTAATAAACAAACTAGATGGAGTTTCTTTGTGCACTCATTAAATGTAGTGAGGGTAATGAATGGTGTGTATTCCTTTAACTGAAGCTCTGTTGTTTCTCTTTCTGTTCAGATTTCTGCTTTCCAGAATACTGGGATAATATGGCTGAAGGAGAGATACTAAAGAAAGTCGTCCTTCAGGTCAACTCTTCAGAGTACCAAGAAATCGCACATCTCTTTAACAAGACATCAAGACAGAAAGCCATACACACTGTGAGTACTGGCCAGCGTATGTTGCAGTGCAATCCAGACTGTTTCTGTTATTTGTGGGTCAGAGTCAGATCTGTTGTCTTTTGTAAGAGTGGATTGGCTTGTTCGTAGTTTAGATATACTATATATGTTAGAAACCATGCTGATAATGGAGTTTATAACAAAAGTGTGGGAGAAAGGTCAGATCCAAATCTCACCTTTTTGCTGCTCTGACTTCCCTTTGTACGTCTCTGTAGCTCAACTCCACCCACCCCTTGCAGCAGGTCCCCAGCTCATTCCTCAAGAAAATGGGGGGGGGGGTTCAGTCAGCCTCATCCTTATGGTCAGACTGCAATAGGAGAGTTAGTCCCCCAAAAAATAATACATTTGTCCCTCAATCACATCCACTAGGGACTAATCAAATTTGTAAAATGATAATAATTATTCCTTTCACTTACATACACTTGCCTTTTCAGTGGAGTGTCCAGAAAAGCACTTTAAAGGTAAAAGCACTCCCCTCCACTACCACCACCACTGCCCACCTGGATGGTGCAACAGCAAACAAAGGGCACCAGTACACTAACCACACACCAGTTCTCAGAATGATGAAACCAATTTATAGATGGGGACTATTAGGAGACCATGACTGGTAAAGGCCAGTGAGAAATTTGGCCAGGATGCTGGTGTAACAAACCTACTCTTTTTGAGAAACTCCCTGGGATTTTTAATGACTACATAGAGTCAGTACCTCAGTTTTACGTCTCATCCGAAGGATTGTACCTTTTATGGTACAGTGTCCCCGTCACTATACTGGGGTATTAGGACCCTCCAAGACTGCAGGGTGAGCGCTCCTTACTGGTCCCATTAACACCCCTTCAAGCAGCAACCTTCAGATACTTACCAGGCTCATACTGCTGAGCTTCAGTGTGGTGTCGGTTGTGAGTTACAGGGTGATATAGCAGCTGGAAAATGATCATAGGACAAAGCTTCTATCAATCGCTAGGTCTTTGTCATTTATTATAACCAGGTAGGTAGACAAAGAGGAAGGAAAAACTGAAAAGAGAGAAAGGAAATCTCTAAGGGTTCAAGGCCCTATCATTTCCTCTTCTGCAGTCTTCACTTCTAGAGGTAAACACTGTGTCACGAAGACAAACCCTTGCTCCACCTGGCACAAAAGCCTTTGCTACATTTCTGAAGGCTGGTCTTCACAAGAGCAGTGACTTGGAAGCATCACAGTTCGGTGCCTTGCTTTCCCCAATGACCATTATCGTGTCATTTGTCACCTCTTTTCAGATTGAAAGAGTGCAGAATGTGCATCTCCGCCGGGCGTACTGGGTGAAAGAGCAGCACCTGAGGGAGAAAAACAGTCCGAACGAGGTCGGGGAGAAGATGCTGTTTCACGGAACTGCATATAATGCCTGTGACTCCATTGAGAAGGGCGGCTTCAACAGGAGCTTTTCAGGACAGCATGGTGAGTGGACGACAGGAGCCTACACGTGCTGATCCACGTTTTAAAGCATTGATTCATGTCTGTGTCCCCTCTGACCCTCCTCTTCTTCCTGCTTGGCCTTCTCCATCTTGTATATGGGATGTAGCACTATCCCGATTAAGAAAAATGTTCAATGTTTAGTTAAATGTTAAGAAAAATGTTTTAAATCAGTGCGTTTGCCTACCTGTGCATGTCCCGGACTGACGCCACCTTGTTCCTTTATGTTTCTAAAAGCCACGGCTTTCGGAGCCGGCGTCTACTTTGCTGTGAACTCCTCCTACTCTGCCAACCCAACCTACTCCAGCCCGGACCCGAATGGTTTCCAGCGCATGTACGTAGCCCGGGTCCTGACTGGACGGTACACGCTAGGGAAGAGCAACATGAGAGTCCCCCCTGCGCGCTCCTCTGCTGACCCCAACGACCGCTTTGACAGCGTGGTGGACAATCCCCAGAACCCTTCGATGTTTGTCACGTTCCATGATGACCAGGCCTACCCAGACTACCTCATCACCTTCCGCTGATGCCTCCAGGCCCTGTACGTACACAGGTGGTTGAGGGTTAAGGCTCCTTCTGCAAGACAGGCATAGCCCTCGTAAAGCTTGTTGTGTCTATCTTTTTAGTCAATTTAAAACCAATCTTTTTTTACTTATCCAGTCTGGCTTTTTCTATCTCGGCTTAGAGCTACGTAACCCTCCAACCGCACACTGGGACAGGAAGAGGAAGTTTAGGCGAACTCCTCTGACCCCACTCGTCTTTTAACATTACCCAGGCAGGGTCAGTGCAGACTGGTGGAGATGTGCGTCCCTCACAGACTACACCACATGCCTGCAAGGACCTGGGAGGCCATAGGGGGGGGCTGTATCCCCAAGACACCCCTGATAGATTAAACACGCCCTGCTCTCGCCAGCACTCAGACAAATGTGGGGAATATGACTACAGTCGACTAGTTGACATAATCCGCGCTGATAGGTTAAGTAGAGTGGAGAGAAATTCACAATTTGCAATCATGACTCCAGAGCCCCCTCTCACCCCCCTGCAGTCCATCATCACCCTCGCAGTAGCCATTTTGCTCATCACCAATGAAGGGATCTCCTACAATGTCACTCTGTCGCACACTGTCATATGGTATATATGCAAATCTGAATGTAGTATATATCTTTCTCTGGGTGTAATTGAGAGGTATGTGTGTTAATTGGGGAGCAGCCTGACTTAAACTACAGATTTTGACCGAGAATCGGTCCTGGAGAGCTACAGTACAACAGGACAGAAATGTAGAGTCACATAATATCGTGTCAGAGTGGCCGATCTTCTGCTGATCTACATGCAGGCTGGCACGGCAGCAATTGAATGTCCTCCTGAAATAATCAGCTAATGTCACCGTCTCGGACATGATGTTCATACTCCGGTTTCCAAGGTGGCTGAGATAAGGCGTAAAATCAGCGCACTTGATCGTTTCAAACAGCTCAAAACAGCTGGATAATAACACATATACTCTTCAAAGAACCTGCTGCAGGCAACCAGTTAGCTCAGTTGCTTAGAGTTGGGTACTAATAATACCAAGGTTGCGAGTTTGAACTCTGTATGATAATTATTAATAATTATAATTATTATAACTCTGTATGGGCCCGTTGTCTGATTTGCTTTTCAAGATCTCTTTGTGTTACTTCTCTGACGTTGAAGTTATATTTTATGACACTTATGGTTTTGTTCATCATTCTGATTTTGAACATACCGCGGGGGTGGAGTCAGACTGGCTGAATGTCCTTACTAAGACCATGTGACAATCGTTTCACTAACGTTCTGAAACAATGTTCACAAAGTTCACAATGCTGTCTTGAGAACAAAAAACATAGTCAAGTATATAACGTGCGGGTTGTCTCTGATCTTACTGAAACACGAAGGCAATTTGTTTTCCACTTTATTTTGGGAAATTGGTAAAAACGCAGAATTATTTAATTTCGGGTGAAAGTTTAAATAAAGACAACATGTTTGGAAAAGACGTTGTCGTCTCGTTTTTTTGAAGTGGTGTCAGATTCTTTAAAACTTTGCTATTTGGTTAAAAGCCAGTAAATCGTTCTCCCGTGTGATTAACGATTTATAATATAAAGGATTTCATTTCGATTTCTTCCAGGAACACTTTTGCAACTATCTGCACTATTCCGAAGTAACTACCGCTTCCTACACTACTGACACTTATAGGGTCAGTTATTTCTGGCTTGTTTATTTACACTCGGGAAAGTAAGTTCCTCACCAGAGCGCGGTGACTCATCGGACCTGATCGTCTAGGTTAAGTGATGTCACCAGTTAGAGGTATGTGAACTGCCTCAAATTAAGACCAACCCGGTGGATTAAGGGAGAATGGAGTTGGTGAAGACTCTGACCTTCTGATTTCTTTTTTTGTCTGTGTGGATTTTATGGATTGTGTTGGATTTGTGTTTGGGTATTACTGGGTATTATTTTACCTCTTCTTTTAATTTTACTTCTTTTAACTGTACAACGCTTTTCTGTAATATTGGAAGTCCCTTTAAATGAGAATTTGGTGCTTTTTAAAAGACAAAGACAAAAAAAAAACATCTAGGTTACTGGGGGGGGTTCAGTGGACCTAGACGGTCGATCCCCAACACTACTGGTGAAAGAAGTGCTGAAATGTTTCTATAACATCTAACTTGGTGATTATCGGTATAGAGAGATAGAAATAGTAAAACTGAGCACGAGGAGAGTGGGATGGAGTGGAAATGATACGGGAACGAGCCCGTGTCGGTTCGGGAGAAGGTGGGTGGGTGGTGTGTGTAGTCGTGGCCAAGGTGATGGAATAGAAATCCATTGGGGTCTCTATGTGTGTCTGTTTTCCCTTGTTCAAATAAAATCTCAGTTAACATTTACATTTCTGTCAGACTGGGCTGCACGTTTGTTGTAGCATTTTATCTGATAGGGAGTCTGTGCCCCAATTCTCGTCATTCGCCTGCGGTACGGAGGAGATCCTGCGCTTGAAGTCTGAGGGGAAAGCTGTGAGAGGCGCCTCAGTAACGGCCTTTTTGCATTTTCTCAATATAATATATTTATGTAGCTGGCAGTAGAACCATATTCCACGTTCTTCGTAAAGATCTGCATCGATTTCTTTGACTTGTCCGCCTGTGTTTATTATGGAGCGTCTTCTGATGTTTTTGCGGTTGGTCTCAACCACTATAAACACCTTGTAGCAGGCAGCGTGTTTAATGTTAATGACCTCAGTGACGGTCACGGTGAGTGACGGCTCTTCTCTCTGGGGGGGTGCGGGGCTCTTCTTCAGAGAGAGAGAGTATCTCACGGGGGACTCTTCTTCATCAATAGCGGAGACAACAGGTACAGACAACACCCTGAAATAATATAAGCCGCGACGCCTTTTAAATAAATTCTTGAACGTTTATGAGCGTCATCATAGAGCTGAAAGGAGGTAAAAAAAAAGCTTGCTGCTGTCACGTGTATCGTTCTCTGCTGAAAGGACTTTCAGCGTGGAAAACCTACTCAACATCCCTGAAATAAGCGATTCTATAGCCGTTGGTAATGTACGCGGAGGAGCAGCAGCAGTAGCACAGACAATTGGAAACGTTCTCACATGTGTTTCTGAAGTGAAATAAAAAGTTTCATAGAAGCGCTCCTCGTTAGTATAGTGGTGAGTATCCCCGCCTGTCACGCGGGAGACCGGGGTTCAATTCCCCGACGGGGAGACACGTGCCTTTTTTTCCCCCCAATCTGACTAGTTTTCCTCCAGTACTCGGAGTGAGAGAATTTATATCGTTTTCCTTTTCCGACTAATCTGACTACTCTTCTAAAGGGACAGCCTGTTAGGCAAAGAAAGCTCAACACCAGAACTGGACTCCAGTCCATCTCAAGTCACAGTAAATTTCTGCACACACCTGAATAAAGTTTCCACAGCTGAAAAGCTGTGCTTCTTTTCTTCTCTTTTTTAGTATAGAATAAACCTTTACTTGTTCCTGTAAATTTCTACTGATTAAAATGTATACATTCACAGCAACAGATGACTGAATGATGAGCAAGTGATCATGAGCCCCAGTGGCCTAATGGATAAGGCACTGGCCTCCTAAGCCAGGGATTGTGGGTTCGAGTCCCATCTGGGGTAGCTTTTTGTTTTGGTGTTATTTGTGCATAATTTCCCTTAAACTGGCTGTTCCTGTAGGCTCAACCTTGTCACCTAATGGAAACAAGGTGAGCTTTCATGTGCGGGTGGTGAGTTTAGTCGGCGAGGATGTGGTATTTATTGCCAACACATTTCCCAGACAGATAGTAGTTCCTGTGACGTAGTGCTCTTTTCTTTATTAGATGTTTGAAGCAAGAAAGTCCAAAGCAGGATACTTAAT